CTAGGGTTGCAGATTCATGCTACCGTACAGTGCTTACAGGGGTGCTGGGAATCTAGGCTCTTGTATTCACACAGCAAACACTTTAGCACTGAGCCATCTTCCCAGCCCACCTTCCATCTATCTCTTCACTAGATTGTATGGTGACAGCATGTGAGCCCTCTATTTTACTCCTCGATCTGCAGCTTCCTGAGCAAGGCCTGCAACATAGTAGACGCTTGACAAATATTTATGAATGGGAGAAAGGGAGGGAGGAAACTAGACAGGGACATGGGAAGGAAGTCTTCTAGGGGCTCTGATGTTCATCTTGATCATTACTGGATGAAACCTCCTGAAGTCAGGCTCTGCAAGTTGGGACTTTCCTCTTCACCTCCTTCCCCTACACACAGCTGTCTGCAGCTGCATTTCCACAATTGTCTGAAGCTCATAGCTAACCTCTGCCCTCCATCCTGGACAGGACCCTTCCTGCTTCTGGTGGTGGGGGTAATGGTGGAGAGGTGATGAGGTAGTGGTGATTGTGGTGGTGGTGGTGGGATTGGGGTGGAGATCATGATGGTGATGATGTAGTGATGATGGTGGTGAAGGTGATGGAAATCATGATGGTGATAATGGTGGTCATGATGGTGGTGAAGGTGATGGAGATCATGATGGTGATGATGATGGTCATGATGGTGGCAGTGATAATGCTGGTGGTGGGGTAGGGGAGATGATGGTGGTATGTGGCAGCTTCTTGTGCATTGAAGATGTTAAGCAGCTCCGCTGGTGTCTTTCCACAGACACTGGGCATACCTGCAGCTGTGACAACCACAATGTTTCCAGACATTGCCAAACGTTCCCTGGGGCAGAACTGCCAGATCTAGTCATACATACTTACACTGAAAACATACTTTTTCACTGAAATTCAAATTTCTCACAGCCACCTGAACATTATCTGGCAACTCAGTTTGGAGGTGACCAGGCTGTCCCCAGTCCTTCCTCAGAGCTGTAGGGTTAGAATGAAATCTGGGAGTCTCCATGGTAACAACAGTCAGTTTGCCCTTCCTCTCCCATCCCATCTCCCCCTTTAAGGCGGGGAGGGTGGATCCTCCCTGATGCTGGCTGTTCAGCAGCTGCACCCCAGCCCATCCACTCTCACCCCCCACAGAGCTAGCAGCAGATTCCCCAGCCTGACCTGCCTGCTTCCTTCTTCGCAGGGTCTCATCTGCCACTCACAAGCCCCTGCTTTCCCCTCTCCAATTAAGAGGACTCCAGGGTGCAGCCAGAGGCAGGAAAACAAGGCAGTTAGTCACTTGCTTCCGTTATCAACCTGGATCACATGGCTGGCTCCTTTAATGGCCGTTGTCATGGCAACGGGAAGCCAGTCCCTGCTTGCTCAGGGAACCAAAACAAAATTAAGGGGTGGTGGTGGGGAGGGTTAGGCAGGGAAGGAAGGAGTCACCATAGAGCTGGTGGGACTTAACTGGAGGAAATCAGGCAGAGACCACCAGCCTGCCTTCAATGGCACAGGAAAGAGAGGAGAAAGGAAATTAACCCAGCCCTGTGGAAGCTCAGGTGAACATGGTGGGTGTTTCCACAAGGTTTATCTTGCCGGGTGAGTCATTTTCATCCCTATTATGACTAAAGGGATACTCAGAACATTGGTGAAGGGAACGACAGGTGCTGCTTGAAGGCTGTGCCGTCGAGCCATGGATTCAGCGCACTCCCTCCTTTGTGTCCCAGCGCTTCCATTCTTACCCTCCTGCTCCTAGGGCTGAGCGCCCACTGCCACATCTGCCTCCTCCCACAGGTTCTCCTTCCTCTCTGCTCCAGTGGTCTCAGCACCTTTAGCAGCAACCTCCGACCACAGCCTTTTGCATCTAGCTCCCTAGGCCCTCTTCTCTCCCTACCATCAACTCGCAGTCTTTCACAGTTCAATGTCACATTCTGCAAGCTGGGAATGGAACCCAGGGCCTCATGGTATGTGAGGCAAGTGTTCCCCACCGAGCCACACCCCCAACTCCTGCTTTATGCTCCTGCCCCACCACAACCTCCTGCATCTCCTAGAATCATCCTCATAATTTCACTCAAAGTTCTGCTCCATCTGCTTAGGAAGAGAGGGAACCCCTGTGCTGCTGTGCAGCCTACAGACCCTGGCTCAGCAGGACACACAACCCTCTGTAGTGAATGCCTCCAGGATTTACCTCCCATCTCTGGCTGAGCCCAGGATTCCTTCCCTACCCACCTAATGAGTGTTCCCCAGGCTGGTGCTGGACAGAGCTCCCAGCCCCACTGGCTCCCTGGGTGCCTGGAGGGCAACACAGCTCCAGTCAGGCTGGCAGAGATGTTCAGTGATCTAGGGAAGCCAGCCGTCACCCTTTCCAGAAAGAAAAGGGAGACTGTGGCAGACAGGGGTGTGGCCGCTCTGAACCTCTAAGGTAGATACAGGGCCGATTTCACCTGCTGCTCAGATTTCTAGGAAAATTCCTTCCCATCCCTCGGGAGAAGGCAACTGTCTAACATGGGAGGAGTGGCCCATCCCCAACGTGGTAGGCAAAGGAAGCAGTGGGCAGGGAGGATCTACTTGTGGGATAGACTTGTTTGTCAAGTGCTTAAGGGACCCTCAAAAGATGGCAGACTTGCACCTGTTCGCCTATCCTGTGTCTGTGCCCTTCAAACATGGTGTTTGGCCTCTGGCCATGGTAAAATAGCCCCAAGTTATAACACTGTGGGGTATGGATGGGCATATGTGGCATGGGGGAGCAAGCTTGACTCTGATGTCATACAGACCTGGGAACAGTATACCCTAACTGCCCCTTCCTGGCTAAGGTGCTATTGGACAAACTACTCGCCCACTCTGAGCCTCAGTTTCCTTATCTATTGACCTCATAATGTTACTGTATACATGGGCACAGTGTATAGAAGCCTCCTATGGAAGTTCACACTCTAGAGTGATGAGCCTCAGTAAATGCGAGATTTAGAAACAGCCAGCAGCTTGTGACTGTGAATCCTGCCTCCTGATTACAGATCTGGAGTTCAGTAATCTACTCAGCCTAGCAAGGCTCTGCCTCTGCCTGCCTCAGGGCAAGAAAAGGTCATGTCAGTCTGAAGCTGGTCTCAGGCTCAAGCCAGGAAGAAGGCTCATGCCATGTTCCAAGCCTTGTCATCCCTGGGAAGGAGGATCAGACAGACATATGGTCACAAGGCAGAGGACGACATACCCCACATAAGTCTGACAGGAATCTAAGTTTGACTGATGAGCCCCAGACCTGGGACGTGGAGCTCAATGTATTCCTCAGCAGATGAGGAAACTGAGGCCTAGCAAGGAAAGAGACTTGTGTATGGCTTTAAAGGAGCTGGTGGCAAAGCTGGAGCAGGATCCATGCTAAGACCTCCCCAAGGGCCTTGCTGCAGATGCCTCCTGTTGCCAACCATGTCCTTAAAAACAGGGTCTCCCAGGCACCAACAGCTGAGGACATATATTCCTTCCAGATCTGGTTAGAAGTGAGTGGCAATCAGCTGGCTTTTAACGTAAGGGTTTTGGGGTCCTCACCCTCTCCCCAAAGTCAGGAGAGCATAATGGATTTGTAGGTTTAGGATCTGGATAGTGCTTTCTTGTATCCTTAAATAGGTCTTTTTTGTTATTGAATTTTTGCAAATTTCATTATATATATATATATCTCCCTTAAAGAGATCTTTATAAAAGCTGAGCTAAAACTTCTGCACCTTTTTGAGGGACTCTATCTATCTATCTATCTATCTATCTATCTATCTATCTAACCCGTTGCCTTATTTGAAAACTCTAGAATGTTCAACCAACCCTGGGCTAATTCTTTGAATAAAAGGGTATATGCCACGCACAGAGATACAAACACACAGAGACACACCCAGGATCCCCAAGGAGGAAGGTGGGGCAGCAACAGGTCCTAGACTCCAGACTGCCTGGGTGGTTGCCTGCCACCATGCACGGAGGGGTCCTCGGTGGCACTTGGAGCTGCCACAGCTTGCTGACCCCCCTAATACACACACACACACACACACACACACACACACACACACACACACACAGAAAGAGAGAGACAGAGAGAGACAGAGAGACAGACAGAGGCATAAACATGCATACCCATGCACTGGAAGCCAGGCTGAGGTGGGCAGGGGGCCCAAGCTGAGGGATAGGGTAGAGAATGTGGGGAGGCCACATACACACCCCCCCACACACTGGCATGCTCACACATACAGTCCTACTCGTTCACACCTATTCACACATCACACAAATGCACACATGTAGACTCATACAAATACAAACACTTATGCACATACAATATGTAGACTGTGCTTGGGTATCTTTAGGTAGAAATACATGCATCTTCCTGTACATATAATCATAGCTACATGTCCCAGGCCACATAAGCGTGTACACACACCTACACACACAGACTGGGCATCTAAATGTCCCCTCAGTCCTCTCACTACCTCTCAGGGTCCTGGGAGGTCACAGGCTGTGAACCCCAAGGCAAGACTGGGCTCCCTGTTGGCTCCAGGGACAGAGGAGGCGGGGGTGGCCATGACTGCCTGATCTGTGTGTGCATGGTAGGGACGCAGTTCGAGGGCACCTGCCCTGTAATCCTGGCCTCGGCTCTCAGGGACAGTCTCTGGCTCCTAGAGGTGGCTCCAAGGACTGAACATCTGGGATGGAAGAGGACTGCTTCATGGATTGAACCTCTCCACTGCCCTGAAGCCTGCCCCCCCGCCCCCCCAGGAGCCCTGCCACACCCCACCCCAGAAGCTTGTCTGTCCTTTAAGACCCTTGAGTGAGACCCGCCCACCTGCTCTTCCAAAAAGAGGGGATACCACCCAGACACCCTCGGTTCCCCCACACCTGGAGGGACCCCATCTTCGAAGCACCCCCAACCCCCCAACCCCCCTCCGACCTGCTCAGCCCTGTGCCTTCACCGCCCACCCTGGAGCCGCTGCCAGCCCTCAGAGTGCCCGCGGGGGCCCTGCGGTCCCCGGGTGGCCCGTCCTACCTCCTTCTTCACGGTGCGCAGCAGCCTCTGGCGGGTCTCGGCCTCTGCGGGACAAGCGGGGAAGCGCTGTGAGCGGCGCCGGCCAAGGGGCCCAGCCGCCCTCCCGCCTCCCGCCCGTGCTTACCCGCGGGGACCGAAGCCATGGCTCGCGCGGTGTCCCTGCCCGGCCGCGTCCCTGCTCCCCGCCTGCTGCAGCCGCGTGGGGCGGGGCCGGCGCGGGAGATGAGTGACAGCCGCAGCAGCCGACGTCAGAACCTGCTCTGCCGCCCGGCCCCGGGGAGCCACCGCGCCACCTCCTGGACATCCTTACTCCAGGTCGACTCCAGGGCAGCATCTTACTCACACCCTCCTCCAGGGCAGCAGCCTACTCACACCCTTCTTCAGGACAGCTTCCTACTCGCACCCTCATCCTGGGCAACATCCTACTCACACCCTCCTCCTGGGCAGCAGCCTATTCACACCCTCCTCCAGGACAGCAGCCTACTCACACCCTCCTCCAGGACAGCAGCCTACTCACACCCTCCTCCAGGACAGCTTCCTACTCACACCCTTCTTCAGGACAGCAGCCTACTCACACCCTCCTCCTGGGCAGCAGCCTATTCACACCCTCATCCTGGACAGCAGCCTACTCACACCCTCCTCCAGGACAGCAGCCTACTCACACCCTCCTCCAGGACAGCAGCCTACTCACACCCTCCTCCAGGACAGCAGCCTACTCACACCCTTCTTCAGGACAGCTTCCTACTCGCACCCTCATCCTGGGCAACATCCTACTTACACCCTCCTCCAGGACAGCAGCCTACTCACACCCTCTTCCAGGACAACATACTCACTCCCCATCTGCTGCACCCCACAGCAAAATGGGTGACCAGAGATGTGGCTCTGGGACCTACATTCTGCACCTTGGGCTGCACATCTTTGAAATGGATCAAAGCTGGGCTTGGGGCATAGAGCTGTCATCTCATCACTGGGAAGGCTGAGGCCTCGGTTATATATAGAGAGACCCTGCTTCTAGAATAAAAATAGGTTCCACTGGTGTAAAGTGGAGGTAAGTTCTAGACTGATCTGAGACTTATGTGAGGTATTGGATGTATAATAATTCCTCCTCTTCCTCCTCCTCCCCCCCTCCTTCCAACTGTACCAACATACACTGGCTCTTTAACTGGAAGAGGACAAGCTAAGGGGCTCCCTCCCTTGTAGTAAGTACTTGGGGTCAGTCCTTTAGGCATCAGTCCTCCAGGTTCAATTTGGGACTATGGTGCCATCTTCTCCAACCCCTTGAGCCATGACTTCACTCACCATGGGTAAGCATGGGTGGACAGTGGTACGGCTAGTCCTTACTGGTTCTGCAGAGGTATCTGTCAGCCAGGATCTCCAGGGCTGAGCAGGACCAAGGTTTGTTCCACCCAGACCCCCTCACCATCCCTAACTGTAGCCCCCAGAATGCACCTCGAGGCAACAGATATTCATTGAATTCCTACAGTGTGCCAGGTTACCGGCCTGGAGAGCTTGAAGCAAAGGAGACCAATGAATTACCGTGGCACTTCAACAGTAGACAGCAAAACACAAGAGTGAATAATGATGGTTCAGGGCTTTGGAAGGTTCTGGAGAAAAGTGGACAAAGAAGGAACACAGGTAAGAGTCTTGTGTGGAACAGGGTGGCTGAGCCAGGAGGAAAAGGAAGCCAAGGGGACTTGGGGAGAAGGGGAGCTGAGGTAGAGAAATAGCAAGAGCAAAGGCCCTAAGGTAGGGATGCACACACAGAGGGTGCAATGTGGGTAAAAAGCCTAAAGGGGTTTCAGGATTTTCCATACTTTCCCCTCACTCCCATGCCCCATCTGTAGGCCTCCTTGAGAAAGATCAAGAGAGTGTAGTGGTGACCCCAGAGCCCCTCTTGTCCATCGGTCAGTGGCAGAGGTTATCACTGTAAATCACAGAAGCTGACCTTGACTTACTTCAGGAAATGGGGGTGAATTGGAAAGAATGCCAGTCCTCAGAATCCATGGGAGGCTGGAGCTCTGGGATACAACTAAGAAAGTTCCAGAAGGTCAGAAAGGGAACTTCAGGAAATAGTCACCCGGCAGTGTGGTTAGAGTGCTGTGACTCCAGTGAGCAGAGTGCCAACTGTTTAAAGTTCTCCTTCCAGGGAGAGACCATCCAATGACCTGTTGTGGACCACATGCCCATGTGTGTGGTGAGGGCCCCATCACAATACTCCTGTCACTATCTCCAGTGAGGTGTGCTTGGCCCCCCTATCAAACTAGACTGGGAAATGGGTGCTCAGAAAAAAAAATAATATAATAAATGTAATTGAGGACCTACTGTGTGCTGAAACTTTTGGGCTTTGGTTACATAAGCTTCTTGAACCCTCTCTACCCATGACCCTTACTGACACGTGAAGAAAGCAGAGTCCAGAGTGGGTTTTCTTCACATCTACATAGCAAGCAACAGCTCATCCCATGACCAGGTGGCTCTCCTCACTAGCTGCTGTTAACTGGGGGTCATGTAGAAAAGAAGGGTGCTTAAGTCACACAAATTTTCAAGACAGACATTTTTCTTTTCTGCTCCAAGTGTTACATCTGCAAAGCTGACTGGGGCTGGTCCTCTTCTTGAGAGTGTAGGATTTTCTCTCTGATATAAAAGCTATTTGGCGCCATAGCAACAAGGCCGGAATGGAAGGAACTAGGCATTGCCTTGGGTCTGAATCGGCAGCCAGGTGCCCTCCACTGGGGGAGGACCCCTCGCCACTGGGGCACTGTTACCTAAGGACAGCTTGAGAAGAGTTGGGAAAGTTTCCTTGAAGCCCAGAGCCTTCCGAGAAGTCTGAGATTCCCATGATTGGTGATGGGGCTGTCCCACCATGCTGCACCTGGATCCAGCCGGAAGCTTCTGCCTCCTGCGAGTTCCCTGCAGCACCCTCTATTGAAGAAGCTGGGCATTACCTTGTCACTGAGGACCTGACACACACCCCCAATGTGGCTCAGTGCATGTTCTCACAATTCATGGTGCAGTAAGGACGGTAACAAGAGGGCCTACCTATTGATGGGTTTGACATGGTGCTGTGAAAGCCATGCACAGTATCTCATTCGATCTGTCAGTCAACCCTATGTGAGGGTTCCTCCTGTTCTTTGTATGTTACAGTGGAGACCCAGAGTACAGCTTATCCAAAGACATATAGCTAGAAAGTGGGAGAGGCTGGCTGCAGACCAGGGAACCCCCAGCAAACTCACTACGTGGACTAATCCTAGTGATCATGCACTGTGTGCGTTCCTGCTGCTGGGCTGGCTGCTTCAACTGGTCAGATGTTCTGACTGTGCAGTGAGGTTGTTTCTGGGTGAGATGGATGTTTGAATCCACAGGCAGAATGAAGTCGATCATCCTCCCTGGTGTAGGTGGGCATGGTGCCATCAGTTGGAGACCTGAAGTGGTCAGAGAAGTATCTCTTTCTGACCACTTTGGCTAGGATAATTCTTTCTCTCTCTCTCTCTCTCTCTCTCTCTCTCTCTTTTTTGGTGGGGGGCATTGCATCAGAGCTTTGGCTCTTTGTGGATGTCATCTTTTCAGACACAGACTGAAACAGCCTTCTGGGCCTCCAGGTTGCTGACTTTGAAGCTTGGATATCTCAGCCTCTACAGCTGTGTGAGTTTGTTTTTACAATGAATCTCTTTTTATATGCATGTATGTAAAATGTACAGGAGTAAGAAACTGGGTTTGATGGGGCACACCTTCAATCCCAGCACTCGGCAGGCAGAGGCAGGTGGATCTATCTCTGTGGGATGGAGACTAGCCTGGTCTACATATAGAGTTCCGATCAGCTGGGTTGGATTAATTAATACAAATTAATACAGTACGATCACTCAATATTAACCCTCTTCCTAATGTAACTGAATTTGTCTTGGTAGACCTCCCCCTTGGGCATCTGCTTCCTGGGTAGGTCCTGATTGGTTTAAAGCCAATCACCAGGTCCTGTTTCCTTTGCCAGTGATTAGTTTATTCATTTATTTATTGTTTATTTGTGTGTGAGTGTTGATGTATGTGCATGTGTGTGCAGGTGCATAAACATGTGTGTGTGGAGGCCAGAGGTTGGTATGTGTCTTCCTCAGTTACTCTCCATCATTTTTTACTTATTTATTTATTTTTAGTTATCCTTCTTTTTTGACACAGTATCTCTTACTGAACGTGGAGCTCACTGATTGGCTAGACTAGCTGGCCAGCAGGCTCCAGGGATCCTCTTGTCTCCACTTCCCCAGCACTGGAATTAAAGGCATGCACTACCTCAGCTGGCTTTTGATGTCATAACTGAGCGTCGAACTCAAGTCCTTGTGCGTGCTCAGCAAGCGCTTTACCCACTGAGCCATCTTGACCCCCAGTGATTGGTTTAGACAGGAGCATGTGACACAGCTCTGGTCAGTGAGGTCAGGGGAAGGCTCTCAGAGCACACAGGTGGACTGTGGGGCACTTGCTCTTTCAGTGCTTTGGCAGCCTGGCAGCCAGGGGGCACAGCCAGCATGGGGACATGGGGAGACAAGAGAATCAGAGAGGAACACTCAGCCATCCACGTCTGGATCGGCTGTTGCTTTGGAAAGCTCACGTCCTCCTGGTGAAGTCATTCAGTCAGGAGTTTCTCTCTGTTTCCATGCATGTGAGTAGGCAGTTGACTTGTTTTTCTACTCAAAAACTGACGATCTAGGTCAACAAATGTAGATCTGGAGGGCTCATTTTCATCCTTGCAAAAGGACTGTGTAAGAACAGATGCTTCCTATGTCTACCGTGTTCTAGAATTAAATATTTAATTTATTCAATTCTGTTATTATGAACAATTTCAGAATCTACTGAAAACTCTCTAACATGTAGTTATTCCCATAATAATTCCCATGGGCTATATCAGAGGTCAGGCCTAGGTTCAGAACTGCTGTAGGTGATGTTACTGCCAGTGTGGATGCAGAAAGCATCTCATTGGTTCATTTGACTCAGACAAGGATCTGTTATAAGGCACTCTTACCACGTGAGTACTGGGTTTCACATCTTTGCCCAAACTTATTGTGTGTGTTGTATGTGGTATATGCTACATGTGCACACCCGTGCATGCACAAAGAGGTCAGAAGAGGATATCCGGTGTCCTGCCCTTTCACTCTTTGCCTTATTACTTGAAACTGTTACTAGAGCTAGGCTGTTAGACTGCAAGCCCCCTCAATACTTGTTTTTTTCTTTTTTTTTTTTTTTTTTTTTTTTGAGACAGGGTCTCCCTGTAGCCCCAGCTGGCCTGAAACTTGCTAAGTAGACCAAGCTGGCCTTGAACTCACAGAGATCTGCCTGCCTCTGCCAGCTCCTCCTGAATACACTTGTCTCCACCCCCCCGCACAGTGCTGGAGTTACAGGTACACATGTGGCAGTGCCCAACATATGTTTTAACATGGGTACTGGGGGTTGAATCCTGGTCCTCCCTCATGCTTGTACAGCAGGTGCTCTTACTGCTGGGCCATCTCTCCAGCCCCCAAACTTATTTTTATCTGACAGTCATCCTGGTGGGTGTGAAGTGGTAACTTGTGGATTTTGATTTGCATTTCCCTAGTGACTAATGATGTTGAACATCTTATTACATGCCTATCTGCCACTTGCATAGTTTCTGTGAAAAAATATCTATTCACACTTTGGGCCATTTAAAAAATCTGATTGTTGGCCTTTTTAAGTTGTACAAATTCTTTATGTATTCTGGGTACTTTGCCTTTATTTTATATATATATATATATATATATATATACATCTATATTATATGGTTTTTAGGTATATTCTCCCACTCTGTACATTGTTTCTTTTTTACACTAGCCTGTTAAGATGATGTGTACATAATTTAAATTTTTACAAAGTCTAATTATCCACCTTTTCTTTCTCTGCTTTTACTCCTGTGGTCACGGCCAAGAAACCTTGGCCAAACCCAAGATCATAAATATTTGGCCCTGGATTTTCTTTTAAAAGTTTTATGATAATAGTTTGAATCCAATCCATTTTGAGTTGATTTTTATATATGGTGCGAGGTAAGGGGTCCAAGTGCATTTGCATGTTGGTATTCAGCTATCTGGGCACTATGTGTGGAAGAGGCGTCCCTCATTGAGTGGTCTTGGCAATCTCTCACAAGTGGGCTTATTGTAGATGTCTTGGTTTGGTTCTTGGACTCTCAGGTCTACTTAGTTGTTTAGGTGGCTATCCTTTTGTCTTGGTCTTTTTGAGACAGGGTCTCCCTCTAGCCCCAGCTAGCCTGGCACTCACTATGTAGGTCAGGCTGGCCTCAATTTTCCGAGATCCACCTGCCTCTGCCTCCCGAGTTCTGGGATTAAAGGCGTGGACCACCACACCCAGCTCTTATTATTTTTATTTTGTGTATGTATAATATGTGTTTGGGTGTGGGGTGTGTGTCTGTGCACATGCCACAGAATGCATGTGGAAGTCAGAGGACAACTTTGAGTGTCAGTCTTCACCTTCCCCCTTGCTTGTTCGCTGCTGTGTGCCAGGCAAACTGACCCAGGAGCTTCCTGAGATTCTCCTGTCTCCTTTTCTGCGTCTCTGTAGGGATGCTGGGATTATAGACACATACACACTCTCATGTCTGGGTTTATCTGCAAGCACTCTATCAACTG